AGTCTATTGAACGTGGGTGGGCTTAACGCTCAGCTTCATTGCTGTTTTTCCCTTACTTCCCCTTATTGGTCACAAGTCAGACCACATGTCTGCTCGTGTATTCCCCTTGACTCTTAGTCTTGGAAGGGGGTTTGCCCTGAGGGGACCTGACCACTTGTCTTGATGTCTCCTGGGTGAGCAACTTGCTTGTTCTTGTCAGTTGGATTGCCGTTATTACTTTTTATTTTTCTTGCTTGTCTTTCTTTCAAGAAGTATCTTCTGTTCTTCTAGCCATCTAGGCTGGTCTGCTTGACCTTTCAATTGGAGATTTCCCACCTCAGAAGATTCTGAATGGGGTTCAGGATTCCACCTATGGTCTTATGCAATGCAAAGGCTTCACAGGAAGCCTCCTTCACTGGGCAAGTTGTCGCCCCATTTTAGGTATTCCAGTCCCGGTGTGGTGCTGTGGTCTAATGAGTCAGACTGCAAAGTCGTTTGAACTGCAAGGTCAGTGGCTCAAGCTCACCAGCTGCTCCTTGGAAACCCTGTACAGGGTTGCTATGGGTCAGAATTGACTCAATGGCACTTAACAGCAACAGCAGTCAGTTATAGGCTGAAGATGGACTTTACAAGCTTTATGGTGATGTTTCTGGCTATTCCTTTCTCTCCCCCTCAGTTGTCTATTTTATTATGGTATGCAAGGGAAACCAAGATTCAAAAGACAGCCAAGCATCTTAACATTATTTTCCCTCTTTTACCCATTCGAACCATGTCTCCTTCCCTGTATCCCAGAGCTCTTTTGTTCTAAGGTTGTGCATACATCATTATTTACCTCTGTCCCACTTAGCCCATGCAAACCTGCCTAACTGTTCTCCCATCTGCCTTGTTCTTCCATTCCCCCTCCCCTTTCTTGTGTATTTCACCCCCGCCCCCAGCACCTAATCCTTCCTGTTTCTGTTCCCTACCCTGTGCTTCACCTTCCCCTCCCTCCCCTCACCCCACCCCACACATTCCAGGAACCAGCAAAGAATTTTTTTTCTACCTCTTTCAGTATGGGTTCTTTTTCATAGTTTTTTACAGTAGTGGTCCTATGCAGTATTTCTCCTATTGAGACTGACTAATTTCACTCAGGCATCCTGGTGTGGTGCTGTTGGTTAATGCATCAGACTGCAAAGCCGTTTGAACTGCAAGGTTGGCAGTTCAAGCTCACCAGCTGCTCCTCGGAAACCCTTACAGGGTCACTATGGGTCAGAATTGACTCGATGGTACTTTACAACAAAAACACCAATTTCACTCAGCATGGTAGTGTAGTGATTATGAATTGGGCTGCAAACTGCAAGGTCAGCAGTTCAAAACTTAACAGTTGTTCCACAGGAGAAAGAGGAGGCTTTCTGCTCCTGTAAAGATTTACAGCCTCAGAAACCCTGTACAGGGTCGCTATGAGTCGGAACCGACACCACCACCATGGTTTGGAACTAACTTGATGGCACTTGACAACAACAATGTCCTCAAGGTTCATCCAGGTTATGCTGTAGCTTGCAGCTTCCTTGTTTTTCTTCAAGATAGCATAATATTCTATTGTGTGTATATAACACAGTTTATTTATCCATTTTTCAATTAATGGGCACTTAGGCTGTCTCTGTCTTTTTGCTATTGTGAATATTGCTGCTATGAACATTGGTGTGCATATATCTACTTGTGTTATGGCTCATATTTCTTGTGGGTAAATACTAAGTAGAGGAATTGCTGGATCATAAGATATTTCTATTTCCAACCTTCTGAGGAAACGTCATATTGCTTTCCAGAGTTGTTGGACCATTTTGCAGTCCCACCAGCAGTGCAGGAGCTTCCCAGTCTCTCCGCACCCTCTCTAGCATTTATTGCCCTCTACATTTTTTGATCTTTGCTGCTTTTGCTGGTGTGAGATGATATCGCATTGTTGTTTTGATTTGCATCTGTCTAATGGCTAAGGTGCTCTGGTAGTGTAGTGGTTACGAATCGGGCTGCTAACCTCAAGGTCAGCAGTTTGAAACTTCCAGCGGTTCTGCAGGAGAAAGATGAGGCGTTTTGTGGCCGTAAAGATTTACAGCCTTGGAAACCCTGTGCAGGGTCACTATGAGTTGGAACCTACTCCATGGTATTTAACAACAACAACAATGGCTAAGGAGCTTTGATAGCATAATGGTTACGAATCGGGCTGCGAACCTTAAGGCCAACAGTTCGAAACTACCAG